AGGTGGCAATTTAACTCAAGATTCTGCACCAAGGACGTTATAGCTCAAAAATACAAGTTCCCACAATACAGAACAAACACAAAGAGGAGACTAATCACAGCCATTTACTTATTCTATGGCTCCATATATCATTAAAAATATGGCTAGATCTGGAATAGCGTGCCTATAAACTTATCTCAGGGCTCTGGTGACTTCAAAATTACAAATCAAAGATGTCTTCTGAAGTAACTGAAGGGAATTATGGGTACCATACATGCTTACTTTTATACTCCAATATCAAATACACAATGTGCTTTAACTGATTTCAAGACAGGACTATAATAATTTTGTGGAACTTACTAAATGTAGATTTATAGACTGCATCTAAACTGTCACCTGAATTAAGAGCTGGAATGAAAAACCAACACTTGAAAAATTCTTATTAAAATCCTATGAATGCTTGCTTGTTTTGTATGAGTTACAGACTGTATCCTTTGTCTTGAAATGTTACGATTGCCTTTTACATTTACTAGCATTGCTTTTTCTCTTTTGCTGTTTTGTAATTAAACTTGTTTTTACAGAAATGTTCACAGAAAAAAGGGGCAATATTTCAACTTTCATGTTATTAGAAATACAGCCTGAAAATATTCTACACTAATAACATATCAGTAACAGGATTATAAACAGGAGTCTAGGGGTTTGAAATGTTACTACAGAGTATATACTTTGTTTTAGGGTGGTTATTTGTTTTAAATGGGAACAAACCTGAAGATACATAGAGGTTCAGTGAATATATCTGATAGGAAAACAGTAAAATTCCAAAAGTGCTGTCCTGACTTACAAAAACAACTCTGAGCAAGAGTCAGTTACTTATGTGTTCATAAAGCTTCCTACCTGATCATAATATTTAACACTGGCATACAACTGTCAGCTGCAGGCTTCAGGAGTGTGCACATATTATTCCATTCTGCAGGCAGGAAAACTAAGTGCAGATTGGTAAAATAACTTGCCTCTAATCACGTAATGAATTGTTGCTAAAGGTAAGGTTATGTAACTGTTTAAATAAATTAGCAATACTCTATTTAAATAGCTTGCCATCTAGTGGCCTGCTGGCATCCTACAAATATGAACTTACAAATTACTTAACACTGAGTGAAATAAGTATGCAATATATATATTGCAGTAGTTTCCAAAATATCCTAGGAACTAGACAAACGCATAGGGTCTGCATTTTCTCTATCTCAAAGTGCCTGCAACCCAAGTAGCTAAAGCAACAAAACAACATATAGGTGATACTTGGAGTGATGTTAGGTATGTATTTTTGGCCTCCCCTCCCCCTCCCTTGTTTTTTGTATTCGAATTTGTCTTTCCTCCTTATACTCTGCTTTCTTTTCATCCTATCACACAAGCTTGGGTTTGCCAAACCTTATGCTATACACATACCCACAATCTTATTTAGTTAGTCTGTAAAGGTGCATATCTACCCTGCCTTCTTTACAAAGGTAGATCATGCTTGGTTAACCAGATATCTTTCTTTGATAAGAGACCTGTTTTTTAAGACAAAGGAAGTTTGGTAGATCTAACCCACAGAGGGGCCAACCCACAGCATGTGTGCCACAAGTGGCACAGGCAGCCTTTATGTATGGCACCTGGCAGATTGGGTGGGGGAGGCAAGCAACATAGTGGTAGATAGGGCAGAAAGCAGAGCAGCAGATGTGGTAGGGAATGCCAGGAAAGAAGCAGAAAACATCAGATTAGGTAGGTTTTTTTCTGCAGGAAGTGGAAAGGAGAGCAGCAGATCAGGAAGGGTAAGAGGATTGGAGTGGCATGTGAAAAATATGCAGAGCTAATTTGTGGCACACCTACCAAAAAAGTTGCCCCCCCACCACCAATCTAATCTATCTGACTTCAGTAAAGCATTCTGTTCAGCATTCCATGAGAAATTATGAATTAAACCAGAGAAGATGAGAATTAGTACAAAATCTGTGATTGTAAGGAATTGTCTGATAGAAGATTAAAAAGTATTTTTGATATGTGTGGAAGAAAGTAAGTAGTAAAGTTTGTCAATGATTGGACCAGCTTATTTAATATTTTCATAAGTAAGCAGAATCACAATAAGTAGAAACATGGTAGTGAAATTTGTGGTTCCACATAATTGAGAGGCATTGCCAGTACAGATGAGAACTGTATAATTAAACACTGAACACATCTACATGTGAATTTAAGCACACTTAGATGTAATGTGCAGTAAGCATCTTTGGCAGGTGTCTACACATGCTGCGATTTGGGACTAACTTTGGTCCCAAGTCGCTCTAGCCCTGCCATGTGCCCCTGTGGCCACCGGGGAAGTTCCAGCCTCTGGACACGCGGCTGCCAGCACTTGGCAGCCGTTTTGAAAGGACACCCTCCACACGGTGACCTTTGAGCTGACACTTCCTGTATTAGAGCAGCAGCGTAATAGAGACATAGGCAGCACATGCCTACCTTGTTCCTACCACAGCTGTACTTCCCAGCCCTGGCTGTCCCAGCTCTTGGCCCTAGCACCCAGGAACAGGATCCCCCACTCCTCAGGGCTGCTACCACTGTCCTTCTAACCCACCACCATTGTGAGCAACTGGCGCTCGGCTATCTTGCGCCACTCGACTTCTCCACCTGTTCCAACTGCCTGCTGGATGACGGGTACATGGCCTTCCAGGGTCCCCACCACTGCGCAACTGTTGCTGTCATCTTTGGCAACCACGGGCCCCACCTGGAGCGCCAGGACATGAAGGTGTGCCCAGATGTCTTCAACAACACCCATCTGCCCCACCACCCACATATCCCCTACCCCCTGCCCACCCCCCAGTACCACTCCAGGATGCACACGTTTGCTATGAAAACCTTTATTACCCTCACAACCCACACCCCCATCCCTTCCACTTCCCCACTCAACCAATGGAGCCCCCTTCCCCAACACACAGAGCCCTTCCACCACCTTTCCCACCCACCAACAATAAAACCCCTCCTCCCAAACTAAAAACTATGTACAAGAGTCTTGTTCTTTTTCTTTGAGTCCTGGAGTGGGTGGCTGTGCAGTGGGGGTACCCAGGGTGCAGAGCCCAGTGGCAGGCATCCCACCCCGGCTGTGCACAATTCCCCCACGAGTCCTGGGGGCCACGGTCAACGCCATGGGCTCTTGTGGGTGGGAGGCAGTGGAGGCCCCTTCCAAGGACCATGGGGCCTTGTGGGGCCATGGCTGGGGGACAGGTTTGGGAGGCCTGGACGTGGCCTCCACTGACCGGCCCTGGCTGGGCAGTTGCTGCTGCTGGAGCAGCTCCACATGGAGTTACTCCAGGGCCTCCAACTGGGCCCAGGGCTCCCACTGCGCCCAGTCCTGTACCTCCTCCCAAGTGGTCTCCCGAGTGACATCTTCCTTTCACCAGGCTAGCCTCCTGCACCTCCCATGCCTGCTGCTGTGCCTGCTCCCACACTGTCCAGTTATCCACCACTGCCACCAGCCACTGGAGCAGGACAGTCCAGTCCATGGTGTGCTGCTGGCACAGCCAGCACATCCAGGCAGCTCTAGCAGTGGGTAGCAGCGAACCTGATGCAGTACTCCTGCAAGGCCCTGCAGCCTTTCACCCACATCCAGATGTTGACCCTACAGAAGCAAGAGACAGAAGTCCTTTGTGCAAGTTTGCAACATTGCAGTGATAAGATGCTTTGCACCAGGGGTCATGCACTGCCTGGCCTCAGATTGGAGGTCAGCCATGTGCGGGTGCCCAGGGACCATGGTAAGTTGTCCAGGCAGGGCTGGGCCCAGGCAGCCAGCAGCCAAACCCCTGGCCCCACTTTTTTTCCCTGACGCCGGTAGGCGGGCCAGGCCAAGCACCACTCCCCACTTCCCTGGGGGCCAGCTGCTCTGCCACACTGCCGCCCAGCCCACAGTGCCCGGGCTCAGGGCTCTTGGACAACTGGGATGAGGGGCTGGCCATGTCCCCACCCTCCTGCTGGGGGCCACCCACTCCAGCACCACCGCTGTGCCCAAGCATGCCCCTGCTACATGTATCCTGGGTGGTGCACAATGAGTTGTTTATGCAGGTGAAGAGCTGCCCTAACCACTACACCCTGATCCTGCTGGTGCCCCAGGACCCTGAGCTACAATGACACAGGAGGCAATCCTGGGCTGCCCCACAACTTCTGCCACCACCAGGAGGACTACCTGTGGCAGCACTACATGTCCCTGCCCCCCACTGCTGACATCACTGCCAGTATCAATACCTTCTTCAGCATGTGAGAGGCCTGTGTCTTCCTGGCTGCAGGGACATAGGCTGCTCAATAAAATATTGAATTGTGTTCCACTTCTCTGTGGGGCTGGAGAGGCTGGCCGCTCGGTGTGGGGCTCCCCATCATCAACAGCATCCAGCTGCACCTGGTGTCCACAACTTGCTGTGTGCAGCAAGCTGGCACTCAGCCAGGGCCTCCCCGCCTCCTGGGGAGGAACTGGTGGCTGGCAGTGACATGGCTGGTTGCTCCTCATGGTGGGGTGTGGGGCTGGGCTGAGGATGAGGCAGCCGCTGGGCAGGGCTCCCTGAGCTGCCATTGGATACAGCAGTCAGGGAGGTGGTGGGGGCAAAGTGCTGAAGACCTGAGGTTCCCTCCTCCAGGGATGCATCACCAGAGGCATTAGGGCAGGGTGCAGGCAAGGGCAGGCCACCCCTGCTGGTGGTACTCATAGGGGTGTGGCCTGTCTCCAGGGACCAAAATATGGGTCAGCTCTGACATTAAAGACATGGTCTCTTGGGAATGACCGGACTGATGATTGAACTTGGTCACGGTGGATGTCATCTTCCCGGACTTTAAGAGGGCCTTTGACACTTTCTCACCACATTCTCTCACAAAACTAGGTGACTGCAGCATCAGTGACTACACAGTCAGATGGGTGGCAAATTGACTAGATGGTCGCACCCAGAGAGTGGTGGTGGATGGGTTGTTTTCGACCTGGAGGGATGCGGGCAGTGGAGTCCCCCAGGGCTCGGTTCTGGGCCCTGTACTATTCAGCATCTTTATCAGCGATCTGGATATGGGTGTGGAATGCATGCTGTCCGTATTTGTTGATGACACTATGATGTGGGGTGGGGTAGGCACACTGGAGGGCAGGGACAGAATCCAGCTAGATCTAGACAAATTACAGAGGTGGGCAGATGAGAATAGGATGGAATTCAATGCGACAAGTACAGGGTACTGCCTCTAGGGAGAAGGAACCAGCAACACACCTATAGGCTGGGGAACACCCTACTTGTCAACACAAAGGCAGAAAGGGATCTTGAAGTCATTGTTGACTCCAGTGTGGACATGAACCGCCAATGTGAGGAAGTGGTCAGTAAGGCTAACCGCACCTTATCATGCAGCTACAGAGGCAGCAGAAGCAGGTCCAGGGAGGTGATCCTTCCCCTCTATGCAGCATTGGTCAGGCCGCAGCTGGAGTACTGCGTCCAGTTCTGGGTGCCGCACTTCAAGAGAGATGTGGCTAGCACTGAGAGGATCCATAGGAGGGCCACTCGCAGGGTCAACGGGCAGCAGGTCAGGCCATAGGAAGAGAGGCTAAAGGGCCTGAATTTATTCAGCCCCCACAAGATAAGACTGAGAGGGGATCTGGTGGCCATTTACAAACTCACTGGGGGGGCCAGCGGAAACTGGGTGGGACTCTGTTCCCCCAGGCACCACCAGGGGTTATTAGGAATAACGGCCACAAATTGTTAGAGAGATGGTTCAGGCTAGACATCAGGAGTCATTACTTCATGGTTAGGGCTGCCAGGCTCTGAAATGGGCTCCCAAGGGAGGTGGTGCTCTCTCCTACCTTGGGGGTCTTCAAGAAGAGGCTGGATAGATATTTGCCCTGGGTGTTATGACCCCAGCACTCATCCCTGCCCAGGGTAGGGGGTTGGACCTGATGATGTGTTTAGGTCCCTTCTGACCCTAAGCACTATGACACCATGCTGGCCACCCACTGTGCCCACAAGATCTTGGCCTTCACGCGGTACTGCCCTAATGTCCAAGAGTTACCTCATGCATGTGCTGAATATGGCCTTATAAATGTGGGCATTTGAGCAGCACCCCCATACAAACTTCCTCTGGATGTTCACCCCACCCCAGAGGTCATGCACCTCCTCCCAGGTCCAGTTGGGGGCCCCAGTGCTCAGCATAAGTGTGGACATGCGAGTGGAGCTGGGGCTTGATGGGTATGACATGCTGGATATGCTCCCCGCGCTGGCTCTCTGGACCCCTGCACAGCTGTCCCTGTGATGCTGGCTCTGAATGATTGCCAGCAGCACCTAGGGCAGGGACAGTGACCCACGTGGCAGAGACACTTCACTACAATGCCTGCAGAGACAGAGCTGGGGTTGAGGAGCAGCAGAGAGCTGGTGCTGGCCCTGCTGCCATAGAGAGCAAGGCCAGCAGCTCTAGGGGGAATCTCAGGGCTGGGCAAGGGACGCAACAGGCTGCAGCCCTTTGCAACACTCAGCTGTGGTCAAGAAGCAGCTCCGGCTAGGGGACAGGACAGGCAAAGGCTGCCTGGGTCCTGCCCAGGGGGTACAAGGGGCCTGGGGGGCTCCTACAGACCACACTGGCTCCTTCAGGCTCCCTGTGCTGTGTGCCCCAAGACTGGGGCTTGGCTCTGGCTGGCCCCCTACTGGCTGGGCAGATCCAGCACTAAAGTCCTTCCAGTAATGCGCATTACTGTGTCTACATGTGCGTTAATGTGCTTTAACTAATCACACCTAAATTTGATACTTGGTTTATGCAGGTATCAAATGTAGGCAGGATTAGTCTAAAATTGCCATTTTAAGGTGCATGTAGACATGCCTTTAATGTATCTTAAATTGGGCTCATGCACATTAAATGCACACATGTAGACATGCCCAGATGATCTTGAGAATGGGGGGCAAGAGACATGGAACGAGGCTAAATAATTCAAAATTCAAGATTATGCATAAATGGATTGAGAATGTATTCTATTAATTGGGAGCTAATCAGTTAGAAGTGGCAAAGGACAATCGCCTGGATGTATGTATTATTTGATCACTGGACAACGATGAGGCACCAAGATGATGTGGACATGAAAATGCCAAGTACAATTACAGGCTGCATAAGGTGAAGCATTTCTAATAATGATAAGAAAGTAATTATCCAATTCTAAACAGCTGTAGTGAGACCTCAGCTAGAATACCGTATATGACCCTGGTCACATATTTACTAAAGAATTAAACTGGAACTTATGTACAGAATGGTTTAAAACCAAGGACTGCTCTACAAAATCATCAGGGGGATAAATGCTAAGTATGGGCAGAGAAGAGCTACTTAAGCTAAAGAACAATGCTGACACAAGAACAAAGAGGTATTAACTAGCCATAAATCAATTTAGATTGTAGATTAGAAAGTTCCTAACCTTCTGAGCAAAAAACAGCTGTCTGTATTGGTTTCAAGATGGAGCTATCAACAAGTTTATAAAAGGACTGAGTGTGACAGCCAGACTCAGAAGGTCCATTTCAGTCCTGTTATGAATCACTGATTTATAGCAAAGAGCTTTGGAATTAAAAGTCAGACTAGGTGATTTAATTGTCTCTTCTGGATTAACAATCTAGGAAATCTATTTATAGCCACAGATTTGTCATATACTGCCAAACATGTGCAGGTGTGAACCTATACTAGGGGTCAGCAACCCCCGGCACGCGTGCCGAGCATGGCACGCGAGGCCATTTTCCTCAGCACGTGTTGGGGCCCGGCAGGCACCAGCTGTTTGCAGTCTCCCAGCTGCAACCAGCCCCAGCTCTGGGTAGCTGCTGCCAGCTGGGAGCCCGGGCTGCTCCCAGCAGGCAGCTGGGATGCTGCAAGCCTTGCTGGGAGCAGCCTGGGCTCCGTGGCTATCAGCAGCTACCCAGAGCAGGGGTTGGCTGTAGCCGGGAGGCTACAAACAGCTGCTGACTCCCTGCCCCCAGCCCCAATGGGTGCAGTGCCAGCACCTGCTGCCTTCCCGGGGCCAGAAGACAGCCAGGGCCGGGGCCATGGCTGGATCTGGGGTGGGAGGGCAGCAGCTGTTTGTAGCCTCCCGGCTGCAGCCAGCCCCGGCTCTGGGTATCTGCTGATAGCCATGGAGCCCGGGTTGCTCCCATGGAAACCCTGCTACAAGTAGCTCGGGCTCCATGGCTATTGGCAGCTTCTCAGAACCTGGGCCAGCTGCAAACATCTGCCGCCTCTCTACCCCAGCCCCTTCTCTCCCTGTTTTCCTTTTTAAAATAACATTTTTTTTCTCCTTTTTAAAATGGATATTTTCTGAATGTTTACTTTTCTTTACTCCTGCTTGAATAATTCATTTTAAAATAAATGCTGTACCTTCTTATTCACTCACCTCTGTCCAACCTGACCACTGAAGAACACCAGTGACCTGTAGAAATAACTGTGAGTTGTCATGTAACTCCTGCCTGGACAATAATGCATATACAAAATATGCAAATATCAGAGCAAATATCAGAGCAGAGTGAAGCCAGGTTACACAAGCAACCTGTTAGCTGTTTCAGTGCCTGATTTTTGAGTGCTTTATCTGAAGTCTAAACATTCTAGGTAGCATATATCCTGGTCTTTGCAGATTAGCTTCCCCCTGGAAGAGAAAGAAACAATATATACATAAGCGTCCAGAGAACACTCATGGCGTAACTTGTGTTATTTACAGGCATACAGACACTCCCCTTTGTCAAGTAACTCAGCCCAAATCCTAGAGGCAAGCTGCTACAGTGCAACTGTTTCAGGAACTGACTCTAGCTGAACCTACTAATGAGCTTTTGTAGGCTACAGCCATGGGGAGATCTGGACTTTTGAAAAGGGGGTGCAAATGGTGAGGTGCATCACTGCATATAAAATGACACGTTGTTCTCCGGTTAAAGGGTGCAGACAGAAGCGCGGCTCCCAACTGTAACTCAGAACGATTTTTGCGAAGCGTTCGAGTTATGTTCCCCCAGAGCAAACAGAAGTTCACTTTTGCAGCCAGTTTCCCATAGCAGCATCCAGGGCTCTGCCAGCTCCCCGTTTGCAGAGCGGGGGTCTACAGCTGATTCTTGGGGCTCCCCAGCCTGCGCTGAAGAGCAGGTTGGCTACACTGCAGTCCCCGTCCCCCCCCCCACCTCAGGGGAGCTCCAATACCCCCCCCAGCTTGAACTCCCTCTGCTCCCTCCCATTCTGGAAACAGCAACAGGCGGGGGCCCCCTTGCAAAACACGCTACATCGAGAAACATCTGCATCCGACACCTCGTGCAACCAGGGGTCGGATTTCCATCCCATCAGCCAATTCTGAAGCTGCCTGCGCGGATCACAGCCAGACCTGGCTTTCTGCAGCCAGATCGGGCAAAAGGCGTCACGTCTGCCCGCACCCAAGCGACCGCGGCCTGGCGCGACACGGATCAGAAACGAGCGGGCAAAGCAGAGCAGTGCCAGCTCGGGCCCCGCCCCTACGCACCTTGCGCACCCGGGCCCCGCCCCGCTCCCAGAATAGCCGCAGCGCGCGCTCGTGGGCTGAGCCAGACTTTGGC